ATCCATAACTCTTTTCCATTAAGAATCGCCAGGCAACTCTCACGGCGCTAACCCTAATCCTACTCGCCCTAACCCGGATCGAGCCAGAGAAGTATTAGCACTCCAGACCCCGTGTAACACTTACTTTGGTGCCCCAGTTGGAGCAGTATACTGTACTGACATTACGTTTGACTCAAAATAAGTAAACACCTACAACACTAATACTTTAAATTGCAATGACGGAGTGAGAATAAGTTAGTATACACTTCAAATGTCTGTCTTTTACCTCTAACTAGGACTAGGGCTGTTGACACTAACTCCGAGTTGTTCAGAATAGGTGTGATTTTAGTCACATTATCGCAGACTACGTATGCAAGGATACAGCAACATCAGCTCTAAATAGTAGACATAATACACATTAATTTTGAACCGTACCCGTGCGCGCGACGTGTACATATTTGCAGGCTAGCTGATTTCAATTTCTAGGACTAATCATGTAGTCTCAGCAACACTTAAAGGTGCCTGTGCGCGCAAAAGCGAAGCGAGCCGTAAACAACCACTACTGGGAGCTATCGAAAACCCTCTACGAGAAATCAGCCAAGCTATGTCTCGAGTAAAACACCCGCGCACATTTCCCAGCGTATTGTAACAGACAATTTAACGGATTCGCTTCCACCAATGAGACAGGTCAGCTGTGGTCCCCAGAACGAGATAATCTCGTAAGCCACCCCCTTTTCACTTCTGTCCACCGCCAGCGCCAGGTGAGGAGCAATTGTATCCTCCGCCAGCGATGAAGTCGCCAGCTCGTTGCCGGTGGGCTCAACAAGGCAGAGGGTCGTTCCAGAAGATAACTTCACATGATTCAACCGAATTGGCGGAGCTGATGATTGAAGGCACGCAGGTACCGAGTTCCATCTGAATGTCACTGCTCGTACGCGTCCGCACGCTAGCTCTCTCCCGCTCATTCGCCCGTACATACTAATATATGCATATCATCTTTCCACTTCATCTACTAGTATCGCTACCTTATGATGAGCGCTGTGAGGTCTTACATAAACTTTTTGTTCATCGTAGCCCACTCTTGAAAGATTCTTACTAACTTCACTTTCCATTTTTCTAGCGCTTCAACTCTCGCTTCCAGATCCTGCATCCCTTTCGTAGCTGTCGTTATTGTGGAGCGTTGTTCCTACTACATATGAGATTTGCTCATTTGTCATTTATTCATAGCGTATGGCTCACTGTTCTAGACAGACTTGGGAACAATAAATCTGTTGATTCGCTTGATTAATTCTTGATTAATTCGTTCAATTCAAAAATGCGGGAGCTAGACGATCAATCAAGCAGGTTACAAAGACCTAGGTTGATGGATTTGATTGATCCCAAGTCTGGTTCTAGAAATCTTTTTCTTAACACTAGGACGCCCGTTGTCTGAGTTCAAATCTCCACAGTCAACTCATTTCTTATCATAGCAGTCTACGTATCTACTACGTTTAGATATAGGGCCTGCCTAAAATAGTATATTAAGTTACGAATCTCCTAAATCTACGTCTAGCTACTATAACAATAGGTGAGCGCCTAGTAGAAGTACGTATAGTAGAGTAACGAACCTAACTTTGTACCTTTTCCCCTATATAGCCCTATATTTATTTCCTCTCTAGATACTTCCTCTTTCTATACCTTTTAAAGATGGCGTTATTCTTAATAGTAAATAGTAGTAAAGTAATTAATTAGACTTTATAATACCGCTAGATAGAAATGCACTAAAGGTGGTGACGAAGTAGAGAAAGCAGACGAAGGGACGAAGGTCCACGCCCGCTCATCAAAAGGTGCAAGGAGTGGGCAATCGACCGACGAGGGGAACCGGTGGAGGAGGGCCAAAAAAACATCGAGTGTGATCTTTCTCTTGCTCAGGCACCGAAAGAGTAACCTAAATAAAGTCAGAGACGCAAATGCGACGCCATTACTAGAGAGCAAATAACAAATCATGCTAGTTAGCCAATCCAAACTCTTGTATCACGTGTTATTGATTGCGCATAGGATACAAACACTCACTTGCCCCCTCCTCCCCCCCCCCCCCACAAAATCTCCATCCATTACCCAAATCCTTAGGCTACGAACCTCACTTTTATTTAGCTAAAAGCCCCTCCCAAAGCCTGTAACTAGAAAAACACGCAGATACTTGTAGGCCTGAAAACTAAGCAATGCAAGTGGGCGGGGAACGCGAGGTTCATACGCGACAGGGTGCAGGGATCACAGTGCCTCCACCAAAAGTTCCGACTTTGCACAGGTGGGACGGACAGCGCAACTCCACCTTCCTCATGCTGCAACAATGAGAGCCTTCCGACACTCGCTCACAGAGTGTACAGCCAATCCAAAAAGGTCACTCCGCCCAGCCGTAGTCTCGTCCCGCCGAACTTATGCTCAACCCGCATTCGCACCCAAGCCGACAATCGACATTAAGCACATCAGACAGAACCCAGGTCTCTACGAGCAGAATTGTATAGATCGCAACTATGGCGCGCATAGCAAATCATCATGGCGCATCATAGAACTACACGAGCAGTGGCTTGCCCTGCAGCAGAGCAGTCGTAGCTTGCGGGAGCGCAACAACCAGCTGCGAGCCAAGCTTGCAAGGGCAGCGGCGCAGGCCAAGAGCGGCGATGGGCAGTCGGCTGCCTTGCAGAAAGGAACTATTGCGGATGCAAAAGCTCTCAAGGAGGAGTTGAGCTCTATTGAAGCTCAGGAAACGCAGATACAAGATGAGATTGAAGCTCTGGCGCAGGACCTTCCCAACTTGAGCAGTACGCACACTCCAGTCGGCGACGATTTTGAAGTAGTCGGGTACATCAATGGGCAATCTGAGAGCGAGGTGCTGCAATGCCAGTCTCGAAAGTCACACGTAGACATTGGACAAGAACTGGGCATCCTCGACTTCTCGGGCTCGTCGCAAACGTCAGGATGGGGCTGGTACTTTCTTGTCGGAGACGGAGCAATGCTGGAACAGGCCCTGGTACAATATGCTCTGAGCGTCGCGCGGAACAAAGGGTGGAAAGCAGTGGCACCTCCTTCGATTGTCTACTCACACATTGCAGCCGCATGCGGGTTCCAGCCGCGAGACCAGAACGGAGAGCAGCAAATCTATGCCATTGAACAGTCTGAAAAAGACAAAGCGAAGCCCCAGTTAGCGCTTGCTGGCACCGCGGAGATACCGCTTGCGGGCATGTATGCAAACCACAAGTTGGATCAAGCACAGCTACCACTCAAGACGGTCGGCGTCAGTAGATGTTATCGTGCTGAAGCGGGGGCAAGAGGCGCCAATACCAAAGGCCTGTACCGCGTTCACGAGTTTACAAAGGTTGAAATGTTTGCTTGGACACTACCTGACCACGCGGGCGAAGACTACTTTGCTGCCCAGCCAGCATCAAGTTCTGAAGCAGTCTTTGACGAGATGCTGGAGATACAAAAAGAGATCTTGGAGGCGCTGGGGCTGCAATGTCGCATCTTGGAGATGCCGACTACAGATCTCGGGGCGAGTGCTACGAGGAAGCTGGACATTGAAGCCTTGTTCCCCTCACGACGAGAAAAGGACCAAGGCTGGGGCGAGGTGACGTCAGCTTCAATGTGCACGGATTACCAGAGCCGTCGGCTTCAAACGCGAGTGCGCGTCAAGGGCAAGCTCGAGTTCCCCTACACGGTCAATGGAACTGCGCTTGCTGTGCCGCGGGTGCTCGCAGCCATCCTGGAGAACCACTGGAACGAACAGGAGCGCACTGTGACGATACCAGAGGTGCTGCGACCCTTTATGGGTGGACAGGCAAAGATTGAAGCACAGCCCTAGTGCTGGTAGGTTCCCTTCCCAACTAGTGTCGCAACGTCGTCAGAAGTGCTTCTTGTTGCACCATAGTACGGCTGTATCACTGCATGTATACTATCAACTTGACGATTGGATGCCGCCACGACAAGTGCGGAGCATGTTCAAAAGACGTCTGCTCCCAAGCACGCGAATGGCGGATCCAAGTGCCCATGACCCTGCTACCCCCTGCATCCCAGTTGTTGAAAGCCCATAGCAATAGCCTGTAGCCATCCATCCCCCTGCATCTGCCGCGGTATCCCAGCTGGTGGCCATCGAGGCTCACCCAGCGCTTGGCCCGGCTATCACTATGGGAGGCGATTGGCGCACAGCCCTCGCAAGCAGCTCTGTGAACAGTTGCCACGGTCACGGCCATGGCGACAGCGGCCGCTGCTGTGTGTCTGTCTGAAACAAACCTCACCACTGCCGTTGGCCCACAGCGCTGCCCTTGTCCAGCTGAAAGTCGTTGCTGCTAGCCACCGTCTTGTCTTGGTCTCCCCTGCGCGCCATTGTCCTTGGAGGTGGGGTGGTTTTAGCGGCCCGCCTCTGCTCAGCGCAGCCTCCAGCCTCGCAACAACAAACTACCAGCCCGCCCGTCTGCACTCGACCAAGCTGCTGCATCGTTGCATCGTTGCACCGCCGCGTGCAAACAACGCAACCCGCACAGCCGTTGCTGTTGCTGCTGCTGCTGCTGCTGTCGCCTCGCCCGCCTCGACGCCTGCAGCCTGCCTGCGACCAGCCACCTCGGACCCGTCGCAAACCTGTTGGAGCGCAATATTCCGCCAGACCAACACCCCCCCTTCAACCCTTCCCCAGCCAGCACCCTCACAGCCCGCGACCCCGTCCGCAGCAAAACACCACCAGTCGCGGCGCATGGTTTCCTATCCAGACTCCGCGAGTGCCGAGCGCTCATTGCCCATACGGCGGCCCTCCTCTGTCGCATCGCATTCCTCTCGCGCGTCAACCGTCCGCAGACATCGCCAGACCCGGTCCAATTTCGGGGGCTCGTCGCTTGTGTCGCAAAATGAGTTCCCCATCTTCACCCATACCGGCGACGTCGAAATCATCATCAGCAACGGACGCAAGGAACAGCGCTATCTACTGCATAAGCTGATCCTCACCCAGTGCTCTGGTTTCTTCGAGGCTGGCACGAGCGATGAGTGGGCCACCGCTGGAGACGTGACCAACGCAGGCCCGACCAACGGCACCGCCCTGGCCAGAATACCCTCTGGTTCGCGACCAGAGCAAAAGAGGAAATGGAGATATGAGCTCGATTGGGGAAACAGCGACGATGACGTGCCTATGCTGGTCCAAAAGGTACCTTGTCTCCCATAGACGCGCGTACAAGCACCCGCTGACATGTTCCAGAAGAACCAACCCTCCACCATGTTTGGCGGCGACCCAAGCACATCCACACAGCCGCCACCAGCACGAAACAATAAGCCCACACCCCCGCAATCAGGATTCTTCCGTAGCGTAGCCAACTTTTCCACCGTCAACGTACCCTCCGCACCCGCTGAGCTCGATCCCGACGATGACACGTTTCGAGACTATGACAACCTGTTCCGCATCTTCTACAACTACCCTCCCGCGCTCGATACCATCAACATTGCGACTGCCTACGTCGAGTGCAAATCCCTCTTGCAACTAGCCGACATGTACGATGCACTTGGTGTAATTGGACCGCGTGTCGACCACCACCTCCTCCGCTTCCAGGGCCGATTATGGAAACAGATAGCAAAGTACCCACCCAGTTATCTAAAACTGGGTTACATGGCGCGGAGCAAGGCAATCTTCGCAGAGGCTATGGTCCACGTGGTCGGACAGTGGCCGCAGGGCATCAACCAATTGCGTGGCCAAATTGCCGAGCCAGTCATTGAACTGATTGAAGACAAAGTGGACGAAATGGATGAACTCAAAGCAAAAATCGAAGTCAAACTCTTCCGCCTCTCCCTCACAACCAGCCGCGGCGAGCGCGTCAGCCCTTCGAGCAACTGGCTCGACTGGATCGCCGTCTCCCTCTTCCGCCAATGGCTTGCAGAAAACACAACCCCACCTCCAGCTCCCATCCTCAAATCTCCACGCCCCCAAGGTCCTCGAGGTGAATCCGCGCCCCTCCCTCCACCTCCAATTTTCAACACAGGCCGCATCTTCCGCCTCCTCGGCCAAGCAGGCTCCAGCTACCTCAACCACGACGAATGCAAGCGCTTTCTCCGTCTCAACCCCGAACACTACAATCGCGATAACCTAAAGCGACTTGAGCGCCGTATCGACGAGATTAAGAATAAAGCGAAAGACATTGTTAAGCCGCTTATGCGGAACTTTCTCGAACTGGATCTTAGGGAGGGCGGGCTGCCCTATCTTACTTGTACGAGGATTGATCCGCAGGATTTTCCGTGGGATGAGATTTAGTCTTGTGTGGGGGGAGTTACGGAGTGAGAGATGAGAGGGAGAAGAGGAAAGAAAGAGGGACATGAGGGAACCTCTTTTTGGACACGCCTCTTGATTTTTTGGGATATATTCGTGGGAGTGTGTGTTGTGTTATGTTGTGTTGTGTCTTTTTTTTTGAGTCGCCTGATACCCCCCCCCTTTTTTTGGAAATGAGCTTGTGTTCCTTCGCTTTTTTTGGTTATCCAGCCTCCCACCTTTCACGACGACGTTTTTACTTTTTGGTAGTTTGGATTTCCCCCAACCTCTCCCCGCCACTAACAGCAATTTTTTTTCTTGGCCGCTTTTATATGAGTGTCATGATGGAATGAAGAGAAGTCTACCCCACCTCCCCCCCTCTGTTTTTGCAATACATGCTGAGTTGAGCAAGTAATTTTCTTGATGCGGAGGTAAAGGTAGTGTGTGCTGGTCATACACTTCCTCTCTCTCTCTCTTCCCTCTACTCTTTTTACCTCCAGTCTCTTTGTTATTTAGACTCTCATGGAGTAATCTCATCATAGACCTTTTCGCACTTGTACTATTGACTTATTATGTACTTTTTGCTGTGTATTGTACGCATATCTATAATGGGTAATAATTCGTTTGTCACATATAACGTCACGTGAGAAGGCACCAGTAGCGTGCTGGTGAATACCACGGTTGTTTTGAGATCTGTTTTGGCTAAGTGCGTGCGGGTTTGGGGGGGGGGAGAGATGTTGCCGCAGGGGTGTGAGACGGGGTGGTTTCCGGGTGGCTGGTGTGGAACGGTTGGGGAAGGAGGGGGGACTTGGGGTTGGTTACCTTGAGCGGCTTACAAACATCGTTTGATTAAATGGAAAAGAGGTGTGGAAGTAAGTATGTATATGTGTAGAATTGTATTTCTTAGGTTGTAGTGTTTGATTAACTAGGGTTCAAGAAGCTTGCGCGTTCAATCTGCCCGCCCCATATCTCACTCTTCTAACACTTTTTTTTTCCACTCATCACTCAAGCATCAAGAAAGAAAGAAAAAAGCGGAGGGGTGGTTTTTTTTGTTGTATCTCATCAAAGTCAATTGCATTGCTCATAACTCTATCGCTATATAAAAAACCCCCCACAGAAAAAAAAGAAAGACATCATCATGAAGAACATGCGCCCAGCGCCCATCACAGTCATCAACCATATCATCTCTCTCCCTTTATCCAAAGTTCCGTCATGCCACTCACCATCTAAGCCTGCTTGCCCTGAAGAGCCTGGTGAATAGTCAGGCCATCGGCAATAGCACCGATACCCCCAACGACTCCCTCGGCGATCTTGCCAAAGACATGTCCCTTTCCGCGGTTCTGGGGATCACGCTTGTTCTTCTGGCCCGGAAGGAGTTTGATGAGGTGACCGGGCAGAGCGATAGGATCGATAGTGATGCCGGCATCAAAGCCAAAGTCAGCGTCGATTTGGGGATCACGCTTTCCAAGGGGCTTGAGATTCACTCCTGCGATATGGGGACTATATTCAGGAATACCAACTACTTCTAACAAGTGACGGTTTCCCTGGTTATTGCGGTTTCTCTGGGTATCGCGCTTGGTTGGTCGGCCCGGGGTAAGCTTGCTGAGGTAACCAGGCACGGTAGTAGGGTCGATAGTGATGCTGGTATCGAAACCAAAGTCAGCGTCGATTTGGGGGTCGCGCTTTCCAAAAGGCTTGATGAGTTCCGATTCTGGTGTATGAAAATCATATTCAGGGATACCAACTACGTCTGACAAGTGACGGTTTCTCTGGGCTTCGCGCTTGGCTGGCCGGCCCGGGATGAGTTTGGTGAGGTGACCGGGCAGAGTGGTGGGGTCGATAGTGATGCCGGCGTCGAAGCCAAAGTCAGCGTCGATTTGGGGATCACGCTTTCCAAGGGAGTCGAAGTGATGCAATTGTGCTGTGTTGGCATCAAATCTATTGTGACGACCTACGTCTGACAGGTGACGGTTTCTCTGGGCATCGCGCTTTCCAACGGGCTTGAGGAGTTCCGATATTGGCATATTGCCACCGAAAGCAGGGAGATCAAGTCGGTCTCTCTGGGCATCGCCCTTTCCAACGGGCTCGGGGAGTTCCGGAATTGGCATGTTGCCACCGAATGCAGGGAGATCAATTCGGTCTCTCTGGGCATCGCGCTTTCCAACGGGCTTGATGAGTTGCGATTCTAGTGTGTTGCCACCGAATGAAGGGAGATTAATTCGGTCTCTCCGGGCATCGCCCTTTCCAAGGGAGTTGAGGAAATCCATTTCTGCCGGGGTGGGAACACGTCCAGGGAGGCGAATTAGGTCTGACACCTGCTGGTCTCTCTGGGCATCGCGCTTTTTAACGGGCAAGTTATCACTTTCGTGTCCAGAAAATCCATTGTGACGAACTACGTCCCCAAATAGACTATTTCTCTGGGGATCACGCTTGGATTTCTGGCCTGGAAGGAGTTTCTTAAGGTGGCCGGGAAGAGCGACAGGGTCGATGGTGATGCCGGCGTCGAAGCCGAAGCCAGCGTCGATTTGGGGATCACGCTTCCCAATGGAGATGTGTGGGAATTTGCTCTCGTCTTGGGAGGGGAGGGGTATTCTGGCACGGGAGTCACCAGGGCGAGTTCTCTGGGGATCGCGCTTTTCCGTGTGACCGGGACCGAATTGCTTGGCTTTGTAGCTCGGGGGGAGTTTGACGAGGTGCTCAGGCAGAATAGTAGGGTCGAAGGTGGCACCAGCATCAATGACCTGGGGGTCACGCTTCTGAGCTCCGATCGGCGGAAGGACCTCGGCAAGGGGACGCCACCCAAAGTGGCCCAAAGGTTCCTTATCGATGGCAGTTCTGGAATCTCTCTTCATGGCACCAGTGTTGCTGAAGTCTTTGCGAGGTTCCTTGTAATTGTTCAGCAACTCTTCGAGTTCCTCAGGGGTCAGTTGATTCTCTTCTGGAATCCCAATACGGTAGCGTGAATCTTGTAATTGCCTCTTCTCCTTGCCCAAGCCGGCTTGTTTCTTCGTCTCTCGCAATTCTTCGGAAAGTGTGAGTGATGGGAGATCAGCCGAGGGCGGAATATTTAGAGGCGAACTAATGGGAAATGGTCGCCTATACTGTCGCTTTTCCTTACTGAAGCCGGCTTGTTTCTCCGTCTCTAGGGATTCTTCGAGAGTTTGAGGGATCGAGTTGCCGAGATGGTCGTTGTTAACGTCGTCACCAACAAGGCGCTGAGAGTCTCCTTTGGTAGCTCGTGCGGTGAGGGGGCGGCTAATGCAGGGGATTGCAGCGGATACTTCGCCAATACCAGGACAGTAAGGCATAGGTCTGGGTGGATGGTCTCTCTTCCCAACTGAATGGATATTGAATTCATCTTCGGCAGGTTCGCTTCTGATGCTGTTAGTACAACGCCTGGTATTATTTTCAGTAGAAAGACTTACAGCTGAGGCTGAGCTTGAGAATTCTCAAGGGTTGTCCGAGGTCTATCAGCTGGAGGTTCGGGAGTGCCTTCCGGGCGAATAACGGGCACGGCATTCACAGTCATGCCGGCAGTGAATGCCAAAATGGCTGCAATGGTAGAAGGATGCATGTTGAAAGTTGTTGGAAGGAGCTGGATAGAAGTGAAAGAGGTGAAAATGGAAGTGTTAGTGAAAGAAAGACCGGCTTGGAGTGTTGAATTGAAGAAAAAAGTGAATGATCTTCAACCTGCGAGACCGATGGAATGGAAGTGACGGTGGGATCGAATGCTGATGATGCGATGATTTCCAACTGGTGTACAACACCTCATCTTTATACATTCGGAACGATGTATTCTGGGAACAAAACATCAGACGATGCAAGATGCCAAGTGATCACCATAGTTTCGACGAAAGAGCTACCAAGCCAGCAGCATAAACACCAGAAACATGTGAAATCTCTTAGCTCCTGCCTGACCAGCATCTTTCTTCACCAAGCACTTGCAAATGCCAAACAATGACAGACCCGTGACAGCATTCGAGAATGGCTTGGCTTGACGTGCGTGTATACACGGCTTACCTTAGCATTAACGTTAGCTGTCTAGCATTGGTCGCGCACGGCCTCTGCTGGCTTTAAGCGGCGGTACTGTGACACGCAGCCGCTAGCAGCTAGCCAGACGACAACACGTGCAAAGCATGAAGTCGTTCTGTCGCAAAGAGAAGTTAGCACGTATAGCTCGTCACGAGTTTCGAGGCTCTATAACAAGCCTGTGCGTTGCTCTTGGCTTTGTGCTCGGCACTCTATTTTCAACCCCCAAACCCGTCTGTGCGCGTTACAACATGCCTTAACCAGATCGTGGGTTTGAAACTAGTCTACCTAGACGGTTGTTTTTGCTGTATTTAGTATACTACGACTCAAACCCAAGCCTATATGCGTATGGTGTTATGGCATTGGCATTGATGTTTATTCTTACCCCGCAGCTTTGCTCTGTTTTGAATCAACGGCCAGACGTTGCGATCAACAGGCTTCGTTGCGCGTGAATGGATGCAGGGCCAATCTATTCTGTGTAGGTGACTGGGAAGAGGCCTGGAGAAGGTCCTATCTGGCCACTTTGTCATGTGATGCCTACGACGCTGTTTCATCAACACCAGGCAAGTTCAGTCTATGCGGTACTGACTTGGAGAAAAAAATGCTGGTAGTACTAGCCGAATCATGGCTATACTGTATGACAATGATGAATATGATGTTGTATTTATTGGAGGTGCTGTCATGTCTTTTTTTGATTCCTCATCCTCTTCACAGTTCAATTCATTCAGCTGCTGTGCGGTCATACTTTCTTAGCCTACAACCCACATCTTTTCTTCGGACATTTTTTCGCTAAAATGCACGCTTTTTACTTTACGATTATGTTGGCTGGCCTTCAGAAGTACGCACAGGCTGCGACTGTGGGAGATCTTGCGGTGGAATTCAACGCTGCAGCTCTCAGCGTCAAGGATGGCATTGTAGCAGAGGGTAAGTTGGTATCTTGCCTTTGTGTGTATGACAGAAAGATACTAATGTATTCGCCTTGTAGCCACTCCAGACAATGGTGTAGCTGTCCGAATCGGCACTGAGGAGAAGATGCCCGGCACTTACACGCTCGTCATATCTAAAAACGGCACCAAATGCGACTCGCCCTCGTCCATGTGCATTATGCAGCCCGGCCTTATCTCCTCATCTCTAAAAACCATGGTGGACGGCAAGATGGTGTTTGAGCTTGTGGATCCAAGCAAGCCCGCCGCCCAAGCACCTTCTGTCGCCAAGCTATCCGTGGAGAAGCTTCCCTTGATGCAAGGCTCCACCCAAGTCCTTCTCAACACAACGGACGGCCAGCCCAAGGATGTCGCGGACTTGCTCACAGGGCCGTGGTCGAAGACACACACGGTCGCCCGCAAGGTGCTCAGCGCAACAAAAACCCTAAGCACGTCTGGGGGACTGCTGGATTGGTTGAATATTCCCAGCAAGACCGTCGAGGCCAGGTCGCGCAAGACCAGGAGGCCAAAGAGGCCTGCTAGGAATATCACTTTCGACTTTCTCAACAACGACAACAAGGACGGTGAGGAGAAGAATTATGGAGTTATGCTCCATACATCGTCTTTTGGATGGGCTGCGGCTTTCCTTGCAGTGCTGGTGATTGTATAACTAGCACTGGTGGCTATAGCATAGTGTTATATCACTTGGCAGGCCCCGTGTGTAAGCGCTAAACTGCTTTTACGAATTCTTCTTCTACTTGTTGTCTGTGCTTGGATCAGGACAACAAGAACGCGATTTTGGTGTAGGGTTTGTGTGGAAGGTAGAGAGGTTGCGTTGGAGGGGTAGGTGTGTGCGTGTGCTTGGGTATAAGACTTTCTGTAACGTACCTAAATGAAAAAAGACAAAATCATGACTTTGTGCTCCCCTTGTCATCTCTTTATCTTCTTAGTTCAATGTCAATCACTGCGATCGTATCAAGCAATGCCACTCGGACACTTGCAAAGCCACTCGGAGCCACTCGGATTCGTAGAATTCTCCGTTACTTGTGGGCTGCTTCTCATCGCCTCTCCAATCACACTAAACTCTTCAAAAAAAATACCCATGCGGTGCACACCCCAATTCTATTCTTAGTCTGAAGATTCCCATCTACCTGTACCGATAAATCTAGCAACTCGTGTTCTTTAACCTCTCACCCACGTGCGTGCATGTCGATCCCCCGCAGCCGCAACCCACTCGATCGTATCTAATTTCCACATATAGCAACCTGCAACCAACTTATCTTTGCTTTTCCCACATACCCACAAAAGTTCAAAGCTTAGCAGCCGCAGCACCCAGCCTCCACCATTCTACTTCCTAATTGGGCAAGAGAAAGACCGCCTGCCGCACCATCTTGTCATTACCGAAGAAAAAGCAAATATCTACCCCGCGAACAACAACATCCATTGTCGTAGGAAGCGAGTAAACCCTTGTAGTCGATCTTCCTTTTCTGCACAATCCCTTACAGAACACCGGCTCCTTAAGCCGAGCCACACGGAGAATTTCGGTGGGGATTTAAGGTTGTGTATGATCTTCCGCTTGGATGTGGGGCGCTTGCTTAGCACGTATACATGGAACATGGAAAGCAAAAAAAATCGTGCATATTCTGAGGTGGAAAAATAAAGAGATAGTAAGGGCGGGGGCAGGGGGAGTGTGTGAACACCACGGAGCGAGTCGGAGGATTCAGGTGAACGGAGCTGGGTAAGAAGGAAAGGATAGAGGAAGCATGTGGGTGTAGTGAAGAAGAAAGATTGTATAAGAACAGTCTTGATCACCAGTGGAGATATCTCATCATCAACACATCAGCCAACTACTACACAGCTATTCTTCCATTCTACAAAACACTTTCATTAAACTTTTCAACTGCTTCATTCTCTTCCAACCAAACCAAACCAATCTTTGAATCCAAAAATGCGTTTCACTCTTATCCACCTAACTTCCCTCCTCGCTCTCAGCAGCGCAATCGCACTCCCTCAACCTCAACTCGGCGGTCTCGGCGGTGGTCTCCTCGGCGGCGGCGAAGGAGGTGAAGGCGGCGAGGGCGGCGAGGGCGGCCAAGGCGGCCAGCAAGGCGGAGAAGGAGGTCAAGGCGGCCAGCAAGGCGGCGAAGGAGGCCTATATTATGGTCAACAAGGCGGTGGCCAGCCGGGCGGCGAGCAACAAGGCCAGCAAGAAAGCCAATATGGCCAGCAAGAAGACCAGCAAGAAAGCCAATATGGTCAGCAAGGAGGCCAAGGTGAACAAGGAGGTCAGGGCCAACAAGGCGGCCACGGCCAACACGGCGGACAAGGCCAACACGGTCACGGCCACGGCCACAGCCAAGGCCAAGGCGGCATCTGCGGTTCCTCATCCCCTCTGTGCTGCCAGGTCGGTTTGCTCGGTGTGACGAACTGTGCTAGTGGTAAGTTTCATCCCTCTTTTCCCTCCTCTCTCTCTTCTCCGTCCCTGCCCCCCCCCCCCCCCAAACTCCCTCAGAAATAAATATGCAAATGCTAATATGAGGATAGCCGGTGCCGTCACCACCCCCGGCGCCTTCAACGCCCAATGCGCACAAAACGGTCTTACGGCTCAATGCTGCATTTTGCCTCTTGGTGGACTCGGTAACCTTGGAGGTGATGGGTTGGTTTGCACGGCGCTTTTGTTGCTCGGGCTGGGCATCATCTAGATTCCTTCTTCTTCTTTTTTTCTTCTTCGAGGTGAAGATGGAAACGTGGCGGAGACTTGTACACTAATCTTTTTCTACTTGTTCTTTTTTTTTTACTTTGGAGGATTTGATTGGGAACGAGAGAAACTGGGTATGTATACGAAAGGGAGATGGTAATATGGGTTTTGGATAGGGGGGTAATTATGGGATATACAGATATTATATATTTTTCTCGGACTTGATTAGTAGTGCGCTTGGTAAAGTGTGATGTGATGTTTTTCTTACCTTTTTTTTGCTCACCTTGATCGAGAGAAAGATGGATTCAGTATATTTCTTCAAACAACTCATCACTCATGTCGCAGAGTAAACATGCACAAAACCTTGGTATACTTGTACCATGTTGATTCTGGACATACGACGCATCCACCAAACTCTCAAAAGAATATTTATTTATGACGCCGAGCACGCCATGAACCAGTAAATTCGCCCTAATCAAAGATACAATCCACCGCGCTTATGCTTGTTTGTCATGATCACGTTTTTGCCTAGCCCAAGTTGCACCGCTGCGCTTCATTCAAACTCCAAGCTATCCCTCACACACTTTCTTACGCGCTTCTTAAACTCGGGCGTGTTGTCTCGCCATAGGCTGGCGGCCTCGACGTTTGCAGGCGACTCGTCGTTGGGGCTGGAGAGCATGGATATGACAGAGAGAAGAATAGTTTCTGGGGTTTGGACAGGTGACCAGCGCTCGGCGGCGGATTCGTAGCCGTACTTGTCTTCTTCTGGGGGGTGCAGGATCGAAATACACACGTCGCCGTTTGGGTAGACTGTGGTGTGTGTTAGTTAGAGAAAAGCAGAAGACAACATGTATGGGAAACTCACTGTTGGGATGGAATATGGGAGTCTCAAAGCGCATCTTAGGTGGCAGCAGAGGATATTCAGTGGGGAAAGTGAGACGGGCGCGGAAGAAACCTCCTGTGTGGCGTGTGAGCATGTGGTCGCGTTGAAGGTATAGTAGTGGTCGCACCTCCGTAAAACTTTGTGTCGTCGTCAATCATGAGCATCACCTCCCACTCAAATACGTTGTTGTCGACTAATCCGCAGCTGATGCCTGATATGCTCTTGTCGTTTTGCATCTGCTTGAGCTGGCGAGACAGCAGGCCTGCTGCTGCCGACGACGAAGCCATGGTGTGCGGTGGTTGTGTACAGGCGTGTGGGGTGCAGAGGTGAAGCAGAGCAGGAGCAGAGTAGGGCCAAAGGACAGCGGGCGCAAACTGAAAAGATGGAGTTGGGTGAGGGCAGCAACGGCGTAGATGACGTGCAGTAGGGGCCAAGCCAAGAGCGGCAGCCGCCAGCAGATGGAGCTTGGGAGAGGGTCCAGAGGCGCGTTTGGGCGCAGGGTGTGGTGTGGAGATGCGTTGCAGTGGGTACCCGACTACTCTACTTACGATGGCGGGGCAATGGAGGCAGGAGTCAGATTGCCGGCCGGTGGGCACAGGGGCATTTGGCGTCGACAATCAGTCTGGGCAATCAGTAATATGCCTTGTCAGCAACCGTCATGGCAACTCATCTGTCTCTCTGCCCGTCACACTCTTGGGCCGGCCAAGCTGGCCGTGGCAGGCCCTATAAAGAATAAAGGCTGCTGTCATGACCGACTGACCCCCAATCGCCGCGTTGCATGTGGCGGCATGCGCCAAGCCGAATCGCCCATCCCAGGGCTCCTTTACGGTATCCAGGCTTTCCCTCTTGCGTCTGTGGTGCATGCCAAACACCCTCACCGTCGCTATTTGTTCTCGGGGNGGGGGGGGGGGCGTGAAGATGCGCTGTGTTGGGCACTCGACAGTCAGTCGACATGACATTCCTTGGACCTCGGCTTGAAACTCGATAAGCCTCCATAGCGCCATTGCAAAAAAGCAGCTCAGTGGCTGCATCACACATGTCTTTGCCCATGTCCAGGTATTGGTTTCATATTACCTCTGTCCATTTCCTACATACAGTACATTCACCGACGCCGTCCAAACCATTGCATCCATGCCATTACCAGAGGGCTGTATGTCTAGGGGTATCGTTTCCATCCAAAGTGACGCAGGGTGATATTACAAGAGCAGAGAAGAAGAAATGTGTATCGTCGCATCATGCCAGCCGGCCTCATCCAAACATCTTGACAAACCCCCAAAGACCGGCGCCGCAGAGCACAGGGATGGTCAGATTGTCGTCCCACCCAAAAACGTCTATGGCTTCACTGGCGCTGGCAATGATGCCGGCTGCCAGGGACATGACACCCAAAGCCACGTGGCCCGTAACCGATGCCTGGCTTACAGACAGGTTGAGTCGTTCTCGTGCTTGTAGGGGTAGCGTGAGGACGCCCTGAAATGCGAACGTGTGCTCGCCGTGGTTGTACTCTGAGAACGTGGGACCGAGCCAGCCCCACCACACCGCGGCTGTAATGACACCAGTCACACACGCTGCGATGGATCCCGCCAGACTCTTGCCCTTCCTCACCCTCGGCGTGAGATGGCCCCAGAGCCTGCCAAAAGTCGAAGCAGCAGTGTCGCACCAGCTCAGAAGCAAGATGCTCATCACCGCAATGTCCTTGGGACAGAAGCGCATCACAATCCATGCGCCCAGAAGGTATGAAATGACACCGTTGTACCCGTCTACTTCGGATTCGCGCATCAACGCGCCCAGGAAGCGGATGTAGAGGCGGTTCACTTGCCAATAGCGGTGGCGGATGACGTCAGTGAGGGCAATAGGAACCAGCAATGTAAGGAGCACATTGTGGATTTGCGACGTTTGCGTGCCGGTACAGTATAGGAAGATAGTCAGGAAACCGATGGAAACGTGAAGAATCTTGCGGGGTATCTCATGCCGATGGATCTATGGCTGTTAGGAGGGGTCTGGAAAAAAAAGTGGCATGTGAAACTCACAAATGATCGCCATTTCTGGTGGATAGGAATAAGGCCCAGAGGACTCGGGCTTCGGCTCATCTCTCTCCAGTAATTTTTGTTGGCTGCTGCCGGCGATAAATGGTCGTTTGCTGTATCGCTGGGCAGCGAAAGTTCCTTCTTGCTGACTCCATTCATCTGTCGCCGGCTTGCCAGGGCACTCATGCGCCGTCTTCCTGCCATTTTTGCAACTGCCGGACTGCGACTTCGAGTTCGCGCCCTCTGGTCGGGGTCGGAGCCAGACGAGTCTTCATCGATTGGTGGTGGTGACGTAACCCGTTGTTTGCGTGTTGCTGAGCGCGTTACAGGCCCAAAGTAGCCATCTCTTGTACTGCCAGCCTCCGAGGGCGTAGGCGAAGGCGATATCACGCGCGGCGTGTGGGGGACTTGATACTGGCGCGACGATTCCATGGCGACACGCCAGCAGACAGGAAAGTAAGGAAAAGCAGGAGTGCGGATGACGCCGGAGAGGGTGGAGCGGGCCGTAGAACAGAGCAAAGCGAGGTGGACAAGCAAGGAACGCGGGCCTGAAGATTCCGGGCAGAGGGGACGAGGCTGAGTAGGCGTGTTACAGCTGTCACGCGGGAGGGTGGCCTTTAGTACGCCGGTCTCGCCATTGATGTCAGATTTGGCTATCACATCACACTCACTGCCCGTGGATTCGTCCGGGCAGCCCCCATGGCCTAGGGCGACGGGAGAGGCCACAATTTTTGTCGGCGACAACAGCGGTCGTCTTAATTACGTGCTTGGGGCGGGTGAGCAGGGGATGCGATGGACCAACAGCAGCGACGACGGCGAAGCAATAACCTTGTGGCATGAAATTGGGAAATTTGGTCTGCAGGGCCTCCAACGTAGAAACTGGTTCGCGCATGTGCCAGAAATCAGCGTGGCGTGGAGCCGTCTTGGCGATGGCATTCGGACAATCGCACATGAGCAATCCGGAATCTCGTAGAATAAAAGATGCTTGTCATAACCTACATACGATAGAGCATACGCCATCTCTTATATTATATCCTATACAACTATTTTCAAAATCTTACATGGTGTTGTAGTATATCTCTTGTGCACGGGTCTCTCTCTTAACAGTGTCATGGTGACGTCTTGAAAATATCAGTGTTTTTTCCCCAGCAAACATAGATGGATTGATGCGACAACTAATTATAGTAATGCAAGTTTAGCTTTCTCCGCCCTTGCTATGTAGCGACGGATTGAGCAATGTTCCCTGAACACGCCTGGCTGGGCTCAACCTTATTATGATTGCCGGCAGCCAGCCTTGTATGGCCCGTGCGCAAATCATAACTTTTTTTGAACCATCATGGCGACTCTGCCAACCACACCAAAAGGCCTTTTTTGCAAACCTAAACTCCGCCATGGCGCCTCAGGCGAAGATGGATCGCTCTTTTGGAGCCCTGACCCCAGCTCTATCGGAATGGATTCTTGAAGCGGTCGATTCCATGGGCTTTGTGAAAACCACGCCGGTGCAACACGCGGCTATTCCCATGTTCATGAAGAACTCGGATGTTGTGGTCGAGGCTGTCACTGGAAGTGGAAAAACCCTAGCGTAATGCTCATACATCTTCTCAACACACATATGCTAACGTACCTCCAGTTTTCTTATTCCTATCGTCGAGCGGTTATTGCGACTGGATGCGCCCATAAAAAAGCATCACGTGGGCGCCATAATCATATCGCCAACCAGAGAACTAGCAACCCAGATTTACACAGTTCTAGCTTCCCTTCTTAGATTTCACGCCCCCTCGGCAGCCTTGCTGGACCCGGGAGATGAAGATACCGACATGGAAGATGCCGACGCTCCATCCAAGCCAACCTTTCCACCAGGAACCCTGAGAGTTGTTCCTCAGTTGCTCCTAGGTGGCTCAGTCACGCCAGCACAAGATCTAAGCAGATTCCTGAAATCATCAACCAACGTTCTCATCGGTACCCCTGGTCGCCTTCTCGAACTCCTCTCCTCGCCACACGTCCATTGCTCACAATCGTCCTTTGATGCTCTTGTACTTGACGAGGCCGATCGACTCCTGGATCTTGGCTTCAAGGATGACCTCCAGAAAATCCTTTCTCGTCTACCCAAGCAACGCCGAACAGGTCTCTTCAGTGCAAGTGTCAGTGAGGCAGTCGACCAACTCATTCGCGTCGGCCTCCGAAATCCAGTCCGTATAGCCGTCAAGGTCAAGGCCCGAGCCGCCAACAGTGCGACAGGTGAGGCTGGCGCGATAGAGGACAAGAGGACACCTGCGAGTTTGCAAATGTCATACCTTGCCATGCCTGCGTCTCACAAACTTCCAGCCATCAAGAAACTACTCGCGTCCTTGCAGTCACAGCCTCAAAAGTCAATAATGTATTTGGCGACATGTTATTCCGTTGATTACTTCCAACACGTCCTACCAGAAGTCCTTAAGGGGTATGCCATTGTTCCAATGCATGGCAAGCACCCCGACAAGGTCCGCCGTAGAAATTTCAACAAGTTTGTTGATAGCATGACACCAAGCATTCTCTTAACCACAGATGTAGCAGCTCGAGGTCTCGACATACCTTCAGTCGATCTAGTCCTGCAACTCGACGCACCAAGTGACCCCAAGACCTTTATCCACCGTTGTGGTCGCGCCGGTCGAGCTGGCCGCAAAGGTCTGGCTGTAACCTTTCTCAACCCAGGCCGCGAAGAAGACTACATCGAATTCCTCCGGGTCCGACAAACACCAATATCACCTCTAGCCACCCCGAAAATCGAAATCTCAGACGAAGAAGCCCAGGCAACAAGCAACAAGATAAGAAAGGTGGTCAAATCCGACCGAGCACTATTCGACAAAGCCCAACGCGGCTTCGTCTCCTGGGTCCGCGCATACAGCAAACACACAGCCAGCTCCATCTTCCGCATCCCGGACCTCGACTGGACCGAACAAGGCCACGCATGGGGCCTCCTCAAGCTGCCCAGCATGCCCGAGCTCAAAAAATGGGACGGCGACCGCAGTCTCGGCGTCAGCTTTGACTTCACCACCTACGCATACAAAGACAAAGCCCGCGAGCAGCAACGCCAGACCGAGCAGGCCGAATACGAGGCTACCAAGGCTGAAGGAAAGAAAAAGAAATATGTGCCAGAAGATAAGAAGGCGGCGGCTTGGACCCACCAGAAGGATTTGAAGGCGCTGAAAGAGTTGAGGAGGGAGAAGAAGACGGCAAAGCGCGAGCATGAGCGTGTGGCTGCTATGACGGAGGAGGAGCGCAAGGAGGATGAGAGGTTGAAGGGTATGATTGCCCAGGTGAGGAAGAGGGTGGCGGAGAAGGAGGCGCAGGATGAGGGAGATGAGTTTGAGGGGTTTAGCGATTGAGAATCTTGAACGCAGGTATATATGCGTGGCATTTTGTGGCGTTGAAGGGCTTCTTCATGAACTATTTCTCACATCATCTAGGGGAGTCTATGTAATTTGCTCAAAAAGAGAGGCATAGGGATATAGTTTCTAAAATATCTATTCGCTTTTTATTCCATAAAAGGAAAAACGGCAGCTATAATGCTATGGTAGAAAAAAAATAAAGTCAAGAAATGTCTTTAATTTTTCCAAGCTGCGAGCTTGAGACGTAAAAAAAAGGACCACTGGCTGTATACTGTAGATTGAGGATATGCCACCCAACAGCACAATAACGCCTGCGTAGAAAAGAAGAACAACAAAACGCAGTCTGTATGAAATTCCTCTACGCCATTCAAGATAGAAAATAACGCCCCAGAATTTTAACGCTAAAGAAAACTCCTCCCGTCTATAGATATATGTTTATATACTATCAATCATCCAATTCATAATTCATGTCACCCAACGCACAACGCAAAAAGACACCTAGTACCTCAGCCACTGGAAATCGTCATGAGCGAGGACTAGATTGTGGCCTTCGCCCCAGACTTCACCTTCGGTAGCAAAACGCAAACAGCCAATTTGGATCAGCGGGAAAAGACGGTCACACTCGTTTGCGTTGAAGGCCTGGAAATGCTTCGATGTCGCACGCAGCGTATCGCGCATGGTATCGTGGAGCTTGCGGGCCTCGGTCTGATCGACACGGAGACGGCGCGACAGCGCAATAGGGTTGTGACCGCTGCCTCCGAGGGCGACGACTTTGGTCGGGGTACGCAGGTTCAGCGTCATAGATTCAGTGTAGAGGACGCTGAAGTGGGGGTCTCCCTGTAAGAGCAGATTCGCAAGCGTCTTTAGGAAAATGGCAATGTAGTCGAAGAGTTGCTTTGCGAAACAGGTAGGCGAGTGTTCGAGCAAATGCGCCAGCTCATGTTCGTGGGGCACAAACGACTCTCGAGGCCCGTCTCGCAGCGGCTCGCGCGTGCGCAGATCGACATTAATGCACAGCTGGTTAATCGTGGGCGAGAGGGCGGCGAAGTGTATCCATGTCAGAGAAAAGTAGGGGCGGCCATGTGAAAACGTAATATCCAATTCGTATCTCAGCCGCTTCGACGCAACCTGGTGCTGTATTGCTTGCTTGAACTCGCGATACGTCTGCCGGCACACGCGCAAGAGCCCCCGGTAACATCGAAGCGGCAAGTCGTTGCGCACATAGTGTTCAGACACGACCATTACCCCGCGGAAACACGGCTCTAGCTCTTCCCCAAGTAGCATCTCGTAAACATGGTTGCGAAGCTCCAGCGGCAGATCCAAAAACCCGGGCATTGCTGTTCTCTTCTTTTCCGCGCGTATGCGCGCGCGTTGCGCGTGGGAAAAAGAACAATCAGATGGACTGATAATCTGCCTTGCTCTCTCTCTCTGGCTAGGCCGCTTCCTACCCCCCGATTTGAATAATCAACCCCTCAGGGTCCTGGCACACACACACACGCGCGTGCGGGGGTTCCACAGCAAGTTGGGCAAAAAAAAAGGTAAGGCCGGCGCAAGCAAGAGGAGGAACCTTTTGTTGGGACCTTATTTACCGGCGGGTGGGCAAAACCAAAGAAAAGGGACAAAAAAGAGGGGACGGACTAGCAAACAGCTAAACGACGGTTGACGTAGTAGGAGCAAACAAACCCAACCTGAAAACCAAAAAACATGCGGTTTCTAAGATAGTAAGTAAGCAAGAAGGAAGGAATAATAGGGCTACGACGTGGCAAAGAATAGGGACGAAAAGGCCAGGCGCGGGACACCTTTTCCCTTTTTTTGCGTCTCCCCAAATCGGTTCGTTGTGATAACGGGCTCTAGTGCAAAGGGGCACAAGTAAAGGTAAAAGTAGGGGTTGGGCAAAAGATAGATAGAGAAGGGAAATGTCGCCTTATTCCAGAAAGTCCAATAACAATCTCGTGAAACCAATCGGTCCGTGCTCGCCACGTGATTGGACCTCGAATCGACAAGCCTACTATTTGGTCATTTCTCTCGCTGCTTGCCGGGTGGAAACGGCTCCGCACGCGCCCCTCCCAACTTCGTCATACATAAGATATTCCCCCCCCCCCCCGCTTCAAAGTTTAAACATGTGATTTACTTGGGAAGCGCGGGATTTTTTTTTTTAGAAAAACGACTTCGAAAATTGAAAGAGTAGGAAATTTTTTGGGGGGGAGAGAAGGGGGAAATGGATGAATACGAGTTAGACCGTGTAGCAACGAACAATCCAGCTCTATGGCCCCCGACATCCAATGGTACACCGGTGCAGCGCTCTAAATCGAGGAATTCACGAGGAATGAACGCACCAGCTCCGGGCTCCAACGATGATGTTATCCCAGAAGATGATGATGATGAATATCCCTCAAAATACAATGTAAATTCTACCCCTCTCTCTCTCACCACGTCCTCAAAAAAAAATCTTGTTCAACTAAACTAACTTATCTTTTTTTCTTCTGCAAAAATTAGGTCGGTTGGCGTCGCATAGTCCGCAACTTCTCGCCCTCCTGGTTCTCCGTCACCACGGGCACCGGCGTCGTCTCCTTACTCTTCATCTCCATCCCCTTCCAGGCCCCCTGGCTCTACTGGCTCTCCGTCTTCTTCTTCGGCCTCAACACGCTCCTCTTCTCCTGCGCCCTACTAATCTCCCTCTTCCGCTACATCGCCTACCCGGAAATCTGGCCGGTCATGATCGCCGACAGCGCCAACTCGCTCTTCCTCGGCACAGTCCCCATGGGCTTTTCCACGCTGATATCCGCGTGGTGCTCGCTGTGCATTCCATACTGGGGGTCCTGGGCGGTTACGTTTGCGTGGGTGTGCTGGATGCTGGATGCGGCGGTGGCGGTGACGGTTACGATTTCGCTGACGGTGCTGCTGATTTCCGCATCGAGGAGGCAGGCGCTGGACAAGATCACCGCGGCCCAGCTGCTGCCTATCTCGGCGTCGGTGGTTGCATCGGGAGCGGGAGCGAGAGTCGCAGAGCACTTGATCAATCCCGAGCATGCGCTTGGGACGATACTGGCGTCCTATATTATGTGGGGTATGTCTGTGCCGCTGTCTTTGACAGTCATCGTCATGTATTATACTCGTTTGGCGTTGCATAAACTGCCGCCACGCGAGATTATTGTGTCGTCTTTTCTGCCGCTTGGTCCGTTGGGGTTGGGTGGTTATGCTGTTGTACACCTTGGATCGGCATGTCGTCGTATCTTTCCGCAGACTGGATCATTCTCCGAGATACCAATCGCAGGAGACGTCTTCTTTGTCATTGGCATATTTATAGCACTTATCATGTGGTCATTTGGACTAACATGGCTGTGCTTTGCCCTGGCATCTATATACAAGTCCCGTCCGATCCCGTTCTCCATGGGATGGTGGGGTTTCACGTTTCCTCTGGGAGTTTTCGCACTCAGCACCATTGAACTTGGCCACATCATTCCGAGTATGTTCTTCCGGGTCCTAGGGACAATCTTCTCAATCGCCGTAATCATCCTCTGGTGTGTCGTCTTTGTTGGAACAGTAAGAGGCGCATGGACCGGTCATCTATTCTACGCGCCTTGTTTGAAAAACATACCAAAGAAACAAGGCACAGCACCGGATACGGCAGAGCAAGAGAAGGAGATTCACGCAAACACAGCATCACGGTAGAGAGATGAGGTGTCAAGATTACAGATCGTGATCGGAACAACGTAAATTGCTTCACATGCATTCTGTAGATTGCACGTGGTGTGATATCTTGTCTATTGAGGCACCGGGCCTTTTCCCCGTCTCCATCATCGGATGACAGCGTAACCAGCACCGCATCTTGTTGTACAGTTGCTTTCAAAGCAGAATCCGTGCTCGCGAGTGGTGTCGACTTTGTCCATCTTCTCGGCCCTGTCGATCTTCTAAGCCTTCCAGACTTTTTCGGTCCTGCGGGTCTTCCGGTTCTGAGCCTGCTGGCCCTGGCGCTGGCCTTGAGCAGCGTTCTGGGCAGCATTACCAGTGGCAGCACTACCAGTAGCAGCATTACCGGTAGCAGCATTGCCGGTTTTAGCGTTGCCAGTAGCAGCGTTGCCGGTAGCAGCATTTCCAGTGGCAGCATTGCCAGTAGCAGCATTGCCAGTGGCACCATTTCCAGTAGCACCATTACCAGTGGCAGCGTTACCAGTAGCAGCGTTACCAGTAGCAGCATTACCAGTACCTTTTGCAGCACCGTTTGCAGCACCATTGCAGGCCGCGTTATTCTGAGCAGCGTTGTTGTTTTGGGCACCGTTCGCAGCTCCAGCTTGGGCTTGGGCTTGACCCCGGCCCTGACCCCGGCCTTGACCACGACCTTGACCCCGACCCTGACCCTGACCTTGAGCAGCATTACCAGTAGCACCATTACCAGTGGC